GACACGCGTGTGTTATTTTTACACGTTGCTGTTAATTATGTAACGATTCTTGTGTGTCATTCACTTTGTTACTAATTATATGATCTTGTCCGTGCGTTACTTGACATTGTTGCTAATAATATCCTGTTGAGGTTTTTGCTAATATTTTTATAATCCTTTGAACAGGTTGTTGCTAACTACTACCTGCGTCATTTCTTTTTCTAATTGCTGTTCAAAAACAGGTATAAACGTAGACTTTTCACAATTTTTGTTCACTTAAATTCTGCTGAAAGAAACTTGCAATTTCTTTCGCGTAACTACCTTTGAAATTACCGAACCGAAACGAAACGAACGAAACATTATCCCAAGTAGACTTAAAGATGCCACGTTTTTTGAACAAAGTATTCAATCGAGAAGAATGTCATGATCAAAGAGACGAGCCTGTTTTCCCTTACCCAAAAAAGTCCACGTTCACGGAAATACTCCGTGGATTTGGACGAAAGTCAGCTTTCTTCAACACCAGCCAAGGTTGTGTGGAGGAAATAACACAGATTGCTGGTACTTATGGGCAAAAAAAGATGACTTCATGGAAGAAAGCACAATCAAGTGCACAGTCATTCGAACCGAGGCTCCAGATTCAACCCAAAAAGAAGTTATGTTTAGAGGAGCTAAAGAAGACATCTCCGCCTGGATTCCAAGAGTTCGAGGCCGCTTTTGCATCGCAAGAATTGGACGAGGAAATTGCTTTATTGTTGTGGGAGGATATTTTCAAACCCTTGAGCAGTCATTTTGAGTCCTTACAAGATGACTCACCGAACTGGGAACTCAGCAGAAAAAAAGCAGCTTTGACCGCAAAACAAGAAACTCACAACAACTGAACATTCCTTTATGTATAACCGCTGCTGGTCAGAGGACATTTCAATACAAGATAGTAAACTTATGGAATTCATTAGATAAAGATTTATAACTGTGCACAGGTTTAGTAAACTTAAAGAAAAATCTTTAAGCAAAGATGATTGGGGAGTTTTTGAAACAAGAATACTGTTACAATTTTTAATTCACTGTACTTTTATTCTATTTGTATTGTTCACTGAAAACTTTACGCAAAAGATGATTGGCGAGTTTTTGAAACAAGAATGCTGTCACAATTTTTAATTCACTATATTTTTATTGTATTTGTATTATTCACTGAAAACCCCATTTTTGGGAGTGTGCAATAAAGTTTCATTCATTCGTTCATTTTACTGTCATGTAAGTGTAAACAGACTCCAGGGCTGGTCTACTGTTCGCGTCAACACCTAGACTATGGAATACTTTTTCTGTAAACAGGGCTGTCACTATTTTTTTAAATAGGCGGGGAAATGTCAAGCGTAGCGGATAGTAGCTGGTCTCCTCACAATGTAAGGCCCCATCCACACTACACTAGAGCAATTTGAAAACGATGTTTTCACTTTAAACACATCAAATATTTTCCGTCCGCTCGACGCCGGAGAAATTTGAAAACTCAACAACACAACAATTGTGTTTGAGGAAAACTCAGAGAGGGATATCATATGATTATCGTTACTTCACCGTTTTCGAAAAGCTCCGTTTTCAAAATATTTTCCATCCATACGAAAATGCAAAGCCGGCGTTTTCAAATTCCTCCGGTTTGAAGAGCGTTTGCGAAAACGGCTCTCTTTTCGTGACGGATTAGTGTGGACGGTAGGCCTAACCGTAGAAATAAAACTGCGTTTTCAAATTTTTCCGGCGTAGTTGTGGATGGGACCTAAGAGATATCTATATGACTCTGACATATTTGCGACACGATACAATAGATTTTACCCAAATTCTGATGTAAAGCCATAATGATAATAAGAATTGAAAATATTTATACAGGGTTACCAATTTACCACGTGCAAATGAATAAAATTAATCGATATTAAAAATAATAATAGCAATATTTTACTACTAATAATAAAAATAAAATGAATAAAAGTACATAGGATGTACGATGGTTTCTAAACTACTACGAAATCACGCCGAGACGTATGGATTTAGCTATGGAGGAGTACTAACTAAAGGTAATTTTACTTTCACTTAGAGTCTGGGCATCCACTGGAAATTTGTGAAAATCTAGACAAATTCATACAACATGTTTATGCAATTCTAGGAGACTAAGAGACACAATTTGATGCCACTTTGAGCCGCGTTGTACATGAATGTCGTAAACACAACACAAAAAGGCCCACTCTGGGACCCAAATGTAAAGTCATTTTGAGCGATTTAACCAAAATTGGCCGGGAAATCGTGGCAACTCGCATTTTGGTTTGAGAGAAAAAGAATGTACAGAAGTGCGATAAAAAACTATGTTTGGATCTGTATAAAAGCGACAGTGTTACGCAAGAGTTTACCTGTCATTGATGAAGTCTATGGCGTCATCCAAGGATTCGACATCAACTATTGGTAACAATGGACCAAAAACCTGCCAACAAGTTACATAAAACAATGCACAAATGAGTGCTAGTAAAACACAAAATGATTGTTAACAGTCCAACATTCTAGCTGCACTGTTTACGGCAGTAACAGCGCTTAACAATTCAAATAGACATTTCCGCAAAACGACGGTAAACAGATAGTAATTTCTCATTCAGATAGGTGATTGGTTCCAGTGTCGCCCTATATTGGCCCATTATGGCATCATGGTCTTGCTTTTATACCGGCAGGGAAAGAAAATTCTTAAAAACCGATGGTAACATAAAAAGAGAAAACTCTCTAAAGGTAATACTGAGTGGCGGTCCAGTGCGTCTGTGTGTTACAGTGCCCCCTCTCCCGCCCCCCTTCTCCCCCTCCCTCCAACCTCCTAAATTGTGAAAGGACACTGGGTCATGGTCCCGAGCACATGAACACTAGGTGCTCGTTTAAAGCGGACATTTAACATCAGGTCACACTGTCATGACGCAGTCCCTAAAGTCCCCCTTGCGGAGCCTTCCAATACACATCTAATGTACCTCATTTTCCATGAGCGGGTCTGTAGGTTTGACTCCTGTTAGCACGGTTGGGGCAATATACTTTTCACTGTCATCTGTCTCGCCTCCAACAACGCACTTCCCACTGCTCATCAAGGTCTTTAAACGACTGTAAATATTACATGCATTAACTAGGTTAGAGGACTCAATAGTTAACTC